GACGTAAGTGCACGGACCAGTACTCCCACCCCGCTGACGCGCAGAGTACCACTCACGGAGCTGCTGCGAGGAGTGGGTTTCCTGACCACGCTGGTGCTGCTGGCGCTGACCACCACCGGAGCCACTCCTCCTCGGCGCGCCACGACCTCCGCCGCCTCCTCCGCCGCCGCCGCCACCACCTCCACCGCCACCGCCAGTCCCACCGTCGCCGCCGCCACCGCCGCCGCCGCCACCGCCGCCTCCGCCTCCACCCCCACTACCACCGCCGCTGCCGCCCCCGCCTCCACTGCCTCCGCCGACACCTCCACTCCCGCCACTACTCCCGCTACCACCCTCACCTCCGCCGCTGCCTCTACCTCCGCCTCCACCGCCCCCGCCGCCTCCACCACCGCCCCTGCCCCCCTTGCTCTTGCCAGAGCGACGTCTCCCGCTGGGGGCAGACGCCGCTCCGACCGACTCAAAACCAACAAGGTCGGCCGTAGCAGCAGAGGCGACAGAGGGCAGGAGGGGGGAGGGGGAACACCCCTCAAAGATGGGGGTGCGCGGGTCACCACGAGAGGCCCCTACAGCGAGAATGCCCTTCTCGGCTGCTAGGAGGGACTTCTCGAGGATCTCGACAGTGAGAGTGGTGGGGCAGACTGCGAGTAGGTCGTCCCTGACTCCGCGAAGGGAGTCAGGGAGGCGGGTGACAATGTAGTAGAGAGTGAAGTACTAGGGGGGGGGGGTTCTTGGCGCAGAACTCAGCAGGAAGTGCAGCGCGGAAGCGAGCGTCACTAGTGCGCAGGTGGGTAATGAGGTCGGTTATTGTGGCAAAAGCAGCAAGGTCGGGAAAGAGGTACGGTAGCATGAGGCGGCTCAGTGCAGCAGTGGCAGGGGTGGAGTAGCGTGCAATAACGGCGTCGTACAAGGTCTTAGCACTCTTGTACGACCCAAAGTGCGCACGCTCAGCGGGAAGGAGGTGGCGACGCACAGCAAGACGTGCAGCAGCATCGCGTGTGGCCCACTGTGAGCGAACAGTGGCATCCTCAGTAGCAGCAGGGGCGGGAGAGGCACCAGAAGTGAGATCAAAGAGAGAGAGTCCGTCAGCTCTGTCGCACTGTAGGAAAAGCAGTAGGTCGTCTACCCACACGTCAAAGTCAATGGCTCTGCCCTCAGCGTCAAAGGCGAAGACACTGGGGGTAGCCATGACAGCAGTAGAGAGAGGGCAGTGCGCAGAGTAAAGCTCAGTGCTCACCAGACAGGGCAGTGCAGGGAGGGCTCGGGCGGCTCGGGCGGCTCGGGCGGCTCGACTGCTAGGCGGCTCGGGCGACTCGGCGGCTCGGGCGCCTCGGGCGGCACTGCAGCTGGGGCGGCTCGGCTGCTGGGGCGGCTCGGCTGCTGGGGCGGCTCGGCTGCTGGGGCGGCTCGGCGGCTGGGGCGGCTCGGCTGCTGGGGCGGCTCTGCTGCTGGGGCGGCTCGGCCGGGAGATGCAGGGGCAGGGCCGTCAGGCGCAGCGGCGGGCCGGCAGGTGCAGCGGCGGGTCGACCGGTGCAGCGGCGGGCCGGCAGGTGCAGCGGCGGGGCCGTAGGGTGCAGCGGCGGGCCGGTAGGTGCAGCGGCGGGGCCGTCAGGTGAAGCGGCGGGCCGCTGGGTGCAGCGGCGGGCCGTAGGGTGCAGCGGCGGGCCGGCAGGTGCAGCGGCTGGGCCGTCAGGTGAAGCGGCGGGCCGCTGGGTGCAGCGGCGGGCCGTAGGGTGCAGCGGCGGGCCGGCAGGTGCAGCGGCGGGGCCGTCAGGTGAGGCGGCGGGCCGTAGGGTGCAGCGGCGGGCCGTAGGGTGCAGCGGCGGGCCGGCAGGTGCAGCGGCGGGGCCGTCAGGTGCAGCGGCGGGCCGCTGGGTGCAGCGGCGGGCCGTAGGGTGCAGCGGCGGGGCCGTCAGGTGAGGCGGCGGGCCGTAGGGTGCAGCGGCGGGCCGTAGGGTGCAGCGACGGGCCGGCAGGTGCAGCGGCGGGGCCGTCAGGTGCAGCGGCGGGCCGGCAGGGCCGCGTCAGAGCCGGCGGCGGGGCCGCGTCAGTGGAGGCGGCGGGGCCGCGTCAAGCAGGCGGCGGGGCCGCGCCGTAGCGGGCGGCAGGGCCGCGTCAGAGCCGGCGGCGGGGCCGCGTCAGTGGAGGCGGCGGGGCCGCGTCAAGCAGGCGGCGGGGCCGCGATCAGGAGGGGTGGCGGGGCCGCGTCTGAGGGACAGCGGGGCCGCGAGGGAAATGGCGACCCGAGGGGTCGCTGAAAAAAATGCGCGCCTCGGGGCGCGCTTCGGTGGGCCCTAAAAAAACGGTCCTTAGGAAGGACCCGCTCTATACCATGTGAAACAAGTGAACAGGGATGAGAATGACTAAGGAAAGATTGGGTACAAATACAACCCTAGAAACCCTGTACCCCATATGTGCTACCCCACTATAGCCTACAGCAACTATGTCATATAAATCTGACACTCCGCTACGCTTCCGCGAGCACGCGGAAGCGATCCCGCATTCGCCCGCGTTTTACTGTAGCCGGGCGTAAACCTTTGAAGTCCCGCGAGGGAAACCCCGCAGGAGCGAAGTGGGAGAGAATTTCTCCAGACCCGGAAACGGTGATTTGCCGTTGCACACGTAGCCTTGAATTGCTACCGTGGTCCGACAATTCGATGATTATTGCTCGAGTGGTCTTGCCAGAGGTTTCCTGTGGCATTTGTTTTTATCCGGCACATTACCCAAAACTGGTTTTTAGCCTTGAAATTCTAACGTCGAACTTGTCTCTTCCTGCAAAAGTGTGACGCACCCGGAAAGACGTGCACGAGGGCGGCGCCGTCACTGTTCGGATACGCGACAAAATTGGCACAGTAATCTAGGCAAAAAGTTGCGCTCAAATTCGGTCCATATCGTAACCAATCCGCGCATAGATATATGATTCCCCGATCATATACTCAGTTGCACAGATGTCAGTACGCGCGACCAATTACAGAGTGCACTTGATTGGTCGACTTTATGCGTGGGGCCTTTTCTGACCTTGCGCGTCCAATCAGACGCGGTCATGTAAAATTGTGCTCATATAAAATCGTATATTTACCTATATGAGCGCGCATATGTGATGCTTGTGTCAGAACATTATAGCTTACTCATTTGTGTAGGCTATAGTGGGGTATCCCATAGGGGGTACAACCCAGTTAGGGTTTCCTATTTGTACTCACTTCGTTCATAGTTCACTCATTCTCTCGTTCACTTCTTCTCATGGTATCAGAGCAGGTTCCCCTGTGGGAACTGTGCTTCGGGCCCACCACCTAGAACTTTTTTTTTCTGCCCTGGCGCCCGCCCTAGCGCCCGCCCTAGCGCCCGCCCTAGCGCCCGCCCTTTCGAGCCGCCCGTTAGCGCCGCCCGTTCGCGCCGCCCGTTAGCGCCGCCCGTGCGGCTGCCCGTTCGCGCCGCCCTTTGCGCAGCCAGTAGCGCCGCCCGTGCGGCCGCCCGTTAGCGCCGCCCGTGCGGCCGCCCGTAGCGCCGCCCGTGAGCCGCCGCCCGTCGCGCCACCCTTTAGCGCCGCCCGTGCACCGCCGCCCGTGAGCGCCGCCCGTGACACAGCCGCCCGTGAACCGCCGCCCGTGACGCAGCCGCCCGTGACGCCGCCGCCCGTGACGCCGCCGCCCGTCACGTCGCCTCCCCCCCCCCCCACGTGACGCCGCCGCCCGTCCCGCCGCCCGCCCGTCACGCCGCCCGCCCGTGAGCCGGCGCTGCCCGCGAACCGCCCACCCGTGGGCCTTCAGCCCGCCCGTGAGCTGCCGACGCCGCCCGTGAGCAGCCGACGCCGCCGACGCCGCCCGTGAGCAGCCGACGCCGCCGACGCCGCCCGTGAGCCGCCGACGCCGCCGACGCCACCCGTGAGCCGCCGACGCCGCCCGTGAGCCGCCGACGCCGCTGCCGCTGCCGTCGCCCGTGAGCCGCCGACGCCGCCGCTGCCGCCCGTGAGCCGCCCTGGCCGCCCGCCCAGCCGCCCGTGAGCTCCCCGCGCGCCGTCCCAGCCGCCCGTGAGCCGCCACCGAGCCGCCCCAGCCGCCCGTGCCGCCGCCCGAGCCGCCTGAGCCGCCCGAGCCGCCCGGGCCGCCCGCGCCGCCCTAGCCACCCGAGCCGCCCGAGCCGCCCGAGCCGCCCGAGCCGCCCGCGCCGCCCGAGCCGCCCGAGCCGCCCGAGCCGCCCGAGCTGCCCGAGCCGCCAGAGGAGCTGCACTCCTGCTCCTGTCGGGCTACTGCTGCTCCTGGGCTGTGTACCTGCGCCGCTGACCTACCCGACTCTTCCTGCCCGGTGAGACTGTCAGCTGCTGTCATGGCCACCCCCAATGTCCTAGCTTTTGACGCTGAGGGTAGAGCCATTGACTTTGCAGTCTGGATTGAGGACCTGCAGCTGTACTTACTGTGTGATGCGGTCGATGAGGTCTCTCTCTTTGACTTTGTCTCTGGCGCTGTCCCTGCCCCTCCTCCTGATGCTGATTCCGCCGTTCGCTCCAAGTGGGCGACCCGCGATGCTGCTGCACGTCTTGCTGTGCGTCGCCACCTCCCTTCCTCCGAGCGTGCCCACTTTAGTCAGTGCGGACCGAAATTGAGCGCAACTGTTTGCCTAGATGAGTGTGCTGATTTTTGTTGCTTATCCGAATAGTGACTTTGTCGCCCTCGTGCACGTCTTTCCGTGTACGCCACACTTTCGCGGGAAGAGACACGTTCGAAGTAAGAATTTCAGGGCTAAAAACCGGCTTTGGGTAATGTGCCGGATTAAAAAAATGCCAGAGGAAACCTCTGGCAAGACCACTCGAGCAATTATCATAGAATTGTCGGACCACGGTAGCAATTCGAGGCCACGTGTGCAACGGCAAATCACCGTTTCGGAGTCTGGAGAAATTCCCTCGCGAAGTGGGCTGATCGAACCCCCAACAAATCTCACGCTTTTTACCTTCACAAATAACACGGTTCCAGGAATGTAGTCTTCAAGCAGTCGTGCAGTCCTCTCCCATGGCGCCTACTCCAAGTTTAATCTCTCATGCTTTCCGCCTGTGTTTCTCCTCCAAGATCGCGTTCGTCCTTCGCCTCGTCCTCGGATGCGCTGCATTTGCGCTCGTAGTCCTTACGTACATCTGCTACTGGACCATATTTGCCACCGGCCTCTCGCCGCAGGCGGAGGAGTTCCGCGACACGTGGGACTCGTGCGTGACGCAGCGCGCGGGACATCTATTCAAGCTAAACATGCTGTCGGATCTGCATTCGCAGAAGTGCACGGATCTGGTAGAAGCCGCCGTCGCCAAAGGGGAGGCATTGATGGCGCGCGGGCGGGACTTGCGTGAACGCGGGGAGGCGGAGCACCAGGTTGCTGACGGGTGCACGGTGACGTACGACGCGAGGGCGGATCCGTGGGATAACCATCCGCTGCCTCCTAACAGGTTCTCCCAGTCGGGATCATGCCTGCTGGAGTGGGTAATCTACTCGTCTGAATGCGGGGTAAACATGGTGCGCCTCGCGGATTTCGCGCACATGGCGGGGATCAGCTTCTCCATAATCGGAAGCCGCCAGCCGTGGACGGGCCAAGGCGGCCGCCTGCGCGCCATCCGCGACTTCCTCGCGGCGCTGCCGCGTGATCGCGTCGTGATCACCACCGACGCCGACGACGTCTTTCTCATGCCGCACCCCAGATGCCGCCCGCAAAAATTCCTCGACGCCTTCTTCGCGCTCAACGCGCCCGTAGTTTTCGGCGCGGAGATATTCTGCTGGCCAGATTGGAAGAAGCTAGAGCCGTACTTTCCTCATAAAAGAGATTCGTCTGTGAATCGGTTTCTTAATGCGGGAGCTTATGGCGGGTACGCGTGGGCGGTGGCGGAGATCATCGATCTGATCTACGTGCGCGACTGCATGCAGGACCAGCGCGGGTTCATTCTCGCGTTCCTCGCGCAGCAGTACCTCTTCCGCGACATGCCGCGCGCGCCCAACCCCGACCCCTCCGCCGTGCGCGCCGCGTGGGAATCGCCGAGCGACGTGGCGGATGCGGTGCGCGCGCAGGCGGAGGCGGCGGAGTCGGCGAGCAGAGCGGCGTGGCGGAACAACCGCACGGTGCAGTTCGACTCCGCCATGTCGCCGTTCCACCGCCTGCCCGCCAAGCCTAAGCAGCGCGTCATGGACGAAGCGCGGCGCGCCGGGCACAGGGGCGCGGCGGCGGTGATGGCGGCGCCGTTCATGAAGCTGGACCACTACAGCTCGCTGTTCATGCACCTGGGGGGTCTCAACTGGGACAACTTCACGATTCTGGGTACAGGGGAGCAGGCGCTGGTGCGACAGGTTAATTCGGGGGGGGAGGCATGCATCTTGCACCAGCAGGGGAATAAGCTCACCAATATCTCCATGCCTTATATAATGAAGGAGACCGGTTTGGAGGAGCTGAGAGAGGCGCGAGGGTATGTTTCCTGAGAGAGTGAGGCGCAGGTGAGCAGCTCGAATGTCCTGGTCATCGTTTTCTGTTGGCTGCGGTTTTCTGTTTCCTGTTGTTGCTGTTGCTTGTGCAGCCAACACGCCCTCATCAGCTGCAGATCGTGTTGGCTGCTGTCTCTGCAGCACTTCACTGTGCGTTATCTCGCTATCTCCCAGGTTGGGTTCTCCTAGAAGTCACCCAATCTGGCTCCTACCTTTTGCAAGTGGAGCAACGGAAAGGCAGGTAGAGCCCAAGAAAACAGGCAGTGGCGGGTTTTGGAAGTGGGTGTGACTGCCAGAGTGTTAAGAGAGATGCGGACCAGGACAGTCGAGCTGCTCGCTCACGCTTCCATTTCATCGTTAGTGTGTAGCTGATCTGATTGTGGAACTTCATGATACCTATTAGAAGGGAGGAGGTAAAGGGCTAGGAATGACCACTGACCTGTTTCAGCTCGTGTGTCTGGCTTGTTGCATCTTCTTGTGTGGCAGGGTACTAGCTGAATCTAGCTGTGTTGAGGTCTGTTGTAGCAAAGAAGGGGATGGGGGGAAGCAGGGAAGGGGATGGGGGAAGCAGGGAAGGGGATGGGGGAAAGCAGGGAAGGGGATGGGGGGAAGCAGGGAAGGGGATGGGGGAAAGCACAGAAGGGGATGGGGGGGAAGCAGAGAAGAGGATGGGGGAAAGCAGAGAAGGGGATGGGGGGAAGCAGGGAAGGGGATGGGAGGAAGCAGGGAAGGGGATGGGGGAAAGTACATAAGGGGATAGGGGGAAGCAGAGAAGAGGATGGGGGAAAGCAGAGAAGGGGATGGGGGGAAGCAGGGAAGGGGATGGGGGAAAGCAGAGAAGGGGATGGGGGGAAGCAGAGAAGAGTTTGGGGGGAAGCAGAGAAGGGGATGGGGAAAAGCAGGGAAGGGGATGGGGGGGAAGCAGAGAAGGGGATAGGGGGAAGCAGGGAAGGGGATGGGGGGAAGCAGGGAAGGGGATGGGGGGAAGCAGTGAAGGGGATGGGGGAAAGAAGAGAAGGGGATGGGGGGAAGCAGTGAAGGTGATGGGGGAAAGCAGAGAAGGGGATGGGGGGAAGCAGGGAAAGGGATGGGGGGAAGCAGGGAAGGGGATGGGAGGAAGCAGGGAAGGGGATGGGGGAAAGAAGAGAAGGGGATGGGGGGAACCAGGGAAGTGGATGGGGGGAAGCAGGGAAGGGGATGGGGGGAAGCAGGGAAGGGGATGGGAGGAAGCAGAGAAGGGGATGGGGGGAAGCAGGGAAGGGGATGGGGGGAAGCAGGGAAGGGGATGGGGGGAAGCAGGGAAGGGGATGGGGGGAAGCAGGGAAGAGGATGGGGGAAAGCAGGGAAGGAGATGGGGGGAAGCAGGGAAGAGGATGGGGGAAAGCAGGGAAGGGGATGGGGGGAAGCAGAGAAGGGGATGGGGGGAAGCAGGGAAGGGTATGGGGGGAAGCAGGGAAGGGGATGGGGGGAAGCAGGGAAGGGGATGGGGGGAAGCAGGGAAGGGGATGGGGGAAAGCAGGGAAGGGGATGAGGGGAAGCAGGGAAGGGGATGGGGGAAAGAAGAGAAGGGGATGGGGGGAAGCAGGGAAGGGGATGGGGGGAAGCAGAGAAGGGGATGGGGGGAAGCAGTGAAGGGGATGGGGGAAAGAAGAGAAGGGGATGGGGGGAAGCAGGGAAGGGGATGGGGGGAAGCAGAGAAGGGGATGGGGGGAAGCAGTGAAGGGGATGGGTGGAAGCAGGGAAGGGGATGGGGGGAAGCAGGTAAGGGGATGGGGGAAAGCAGGGAACGGGATGGGGGGAAGCAGGGAAGAGGATGGGGGGAAGCAGAGACGGGGATGGGGGAAGCAGGGAAGGGGATGGGGGGAAGCAGGGAAGGGGATGGGGGGAAGCAGGGAAGGGGATGGGAGGAAGCAGAGAAGGGGATGGGGGAAAGCAGAGAAAGGGATGGGGGAAGCAGAGAAGGGGATGGGGTAAAGCACGGAAGGGGATGGGGAGAAGCAGGGAAGGGGAGGGGGGGAAGTACATGAGGGGATGGGGGGAAGCAGAGAAGAGGATGGGGGAAAGCAGAGAAGGGGATGGGGGGAAGCAGGGAAGGGGATGGGGGGAAACAGGGAAGGGGATGGGGGAAAGCAGGGAAGGGGATAGGGGGAAGCAGAGAAGAGTATGGGGGGAAGCAGAGAAGGGGATGGGGGAAAGCAGGGAAGGGGATGGGGGGAAGCAGAGAAGGGAATGGGGGGAAGCAGAGAAGGGGATGGGGGGAAGCAGGGAATGGGATGTGGGGAAGCAGAGAAGGGGATGGGGGGAAGCAGAGAAGGGGATGGGGGAAAGCAGAGAAGGGGATGGGGGGAAGCAGTGAAGGGGATGGGGGGAAGCAGAGAAGGGGATGGGGGGAAGCAGGAAATGGGATGTGGGGAAGCAGAGAAGGGGATGGGGGGAAGCAGGGAAGGGGATGGGGGGTAGCAGGGAAGGGGATGGGGGGAAGCACGGAAGGGGATGGGAGGAAGCAGAGAAGGGGATGGGAGGAAGCAGGGAAGGCGATGGGGGGAAGCAGAGAAGAGTATGGGGGGAAGCAGAGAAGGGGATGGGGGAAAGCAGGGAAGGGGATGGGGGGAAGCAGAGAAGGGAATGGGGGGAAGCAGGGAAGGGGATGGGGGGAAGCAGGGAATGGGATGTGGGGAAGCAGAGAAGAGGATGGGGGGAAGCAGAGAAGGGGATGGGGGAAAGCAGGGAAGGGGATGGGGGGAAGCAGTGAAGGGAATGGGGGGAAGCAGAGAAGGGGATGGGGGGAAGCAGGGAATGGGATGTGGGGAAGCAGAGAAGGGGATGGGGGGAAGCAGAGAAGGGGATGGGGGAAAGCAGGGAAGGGGATGGGGGGAAGCAGTGAAGGGAATGGGGGGAAGCAGAGAAGGGGATGGGGGGAAGCAGGGAATGGGATGTGGGGAAGCAGAGAAGGGGATGGGGGGAAGCAGAGAAGGGGATGGGGGAAAGCAGGGAAGGGGATGGGGGGAAGCAGAGAAGGGAATGGGGGGAAGCAGGGAAGGGGATGGGGGGAAGCAGGGAATGGGATGTGGGGAAGCAGAGAAGAGTATGGGGGGAAGCAGAGAAGGGGATGGGGGAAAGCAGGGAAGGGGATGGGGGGAAGCAGGGAAGGGGATGGGAGGAAGCAGGGAAGGGAATGGTGGGAAGCAGGGAAGGGGATGGGGGGAAGCAGGGAAGGGGATGGGGGGAAGCAGAGAAGGGGATGGGAGGAAGCAGAGAAGGGGATGGGGGGAAGCAGGGAGGGGATGGGGGGAAGCAGGGAAGGGGATGGGGGGAAGCAGGGAAGGGGATGGGGGGAAGCAGGGAAGAGGATGGCGGAAAGCATGGAAGGAGATGGGGGGAAGCAGGGAAGGGGATGGGGGGAAGCAGAGAAGGGGATGGGGGGAAGCAGAGAAGGGGATGGGGGGAAGCAGGGAAGGGTATGGGGGGAAGCAGGGAAGGGGATGGGGGGAAGCAGGGAAGGGGATGGGGGGAAGCAGAGAAGGGGATGGGGGGAAGCAGGGAAGGGGATGGGGGGAAGCAGGGAAGGGGATGGCGGGAAGCAGGGAAGGGGATGGGGGGAAGCAGGAAAGGGGATGGGGGGAAGCAGGGAAGGGGATGGGGGAAAGAAGAGAAAGGGATGGGGGGAAGCAGAGAAGGGGATGGGGGAAAGCAGAGAAGGGGATGGGGGGAAGCAGTGAAGGGGATGGGGGGAAGCAGGGACGGGGATGGGGGGAAGCAGGGAAGGGGATGAGGGGAAGCAGGGAAGAGGATGGCGGAAAGCATGGAAGGAGATGGGGGGAAGCAGGGAAGGGGATGGGGGGAAGCAGAGAAGGGGATGGGGGGAAGCAGAGAAGGGGATGGGGGGAAGCAGGGAAGGGGATGGGGGGAAGCAGGGAAGGGGATGGGGGGAAGCAGAGAAGGGGATGGGGGGAAGCAGGGAAGGGGATGGGGGGAAGCAGGGAAGGGGATGGCGGGAAGCAGGGAAGGGGATGGGGGGAAGCAGGAAAGGGGATGGGGGGAAGCAGGGAAGGGGATGGGAGGAAGCAGAGAAGGGGATGGGAGGAAGCAGAGAAGGGGATGGGGGGAAGCAGGGAAGGGGATGGGGGGAAGCAGGGAAGGGGATGGGGGGAAGCAGGGAAGGGGATGGGGGGAAGCAGGGAAGAGGATGGCGGAAAGCATGGAAGGAGATGGGGGGAAGCAGGGAAGGGGATGGGGGGAAGCAGAGAAGGGGATGGGGGGAAGCAGAGAAGGGGATGGGGGGAAGCAGGGAAGGGGATGGGGGGAAGCAGGGAAGGGGATGGGGGGAAGCAGAGAAGGGGATGGGGGGAAGCAGGGAAGGGGATGGGGGGAAGCAGGGAAGGGGATGGCAGGAAGCAGGGAAGGGGATGGGGGGAAGCAGGAAAGGGGATGGGGGGAAGCTGGGAAGGGGATGGGGGAAAGAAGAGAAAGGGATGGGGGGAAGCAGAGAAGGGGATGGGAGGAAGCAGGGAAGGGAATGGTGGGAAGCAGGGAAGGGGATGGGGGGAAGCAGGGAAGGGGATGGGGGGAAGCAGAGAAGGGGATGGGAGGAAGCAGAGAAGGGGATGGGGGGAAGCAGGGAAGGGGATGGGGGGAAGCAGGGAAGGGGATGGGGGGAAGCAGGGAAGGGGATGGGGGGAAGCAGGGAAGAGGATGGCGGAAAGCATGGAAGGAGATGGGGGGAAGCAGGGAAGGGGATGGGGGGAAGCAGAGAAGGGGATGGGGGGAAGCAGGGAAGGGGATGGGGGGAAGCAGGGAAGGGGATGGCGGGAAGCAGGGAAGGGGATGGGGGGAAGCAGGAAAGGGGATGGGGGGAAGCAGGGAAGGGGATGGGGGAAAGAAGAGAAAGGGATGGGGGGAAGCAGAGAAGGGGATGGGGGAAAGCAGAGAAGGGGATGGGGGGAAGCAGTGAAGGGGATGGGGGGAAGCAGGGAAGGGGATGAGGGGAAGCAGGGAAGGGGATGGGGGGAAGCACGGAAGGGGATGGGGAGTAGCAGGGAAGGGGATGGGGGAAAGCAGAGAAGGGGATGGTGGGAAGCAGGGAAGGGGATGGGGGAAAGCAGAGAAGGGGATGGGGGGAAGCAGGGAAGGGGATGGGGGGAAGCAGGGAAGGGGATGGGGGAAAGCAGGGAAGGGGATCGGGGGAAGCAGAGAAGGGAATGGGGGGAAGCAGAGAAGGGGATGGGGGGAACCAGGGAAGGGGATGGGGGGAAGCAGGGAAGGGGATGGGGGAAAGAAGAGAAGGGGATGGGGGGAAGCAGAGAAGGGGATGGGGGAATGCAGAGAAGGGGATGCGGGGAAGCAGTTAAGGGGATGGGGGGAAGCAGGGAAGGGGATGGGGGGAAGCAGGGAAGGGGATGGGGGAAAGCAGGGAAGGGGATGGGAGGAAGCAGAGAAGGGGATGGGGGGAAGCAGAGAAGTGGATGGGGGGAAGCAGTGGAGGGGATGGGGGGAAGCAGGGAAGGGGATGAGGGGAAGCAGGGAAGCGGTTGGGGGGAAGCAGGGAAGGGGATGGGGGGAAGCAGAGAAGGGGATGGGGGGAAGCAGGGAAGAGGATGGGGGGAAGCACGGAAGGGGATGGGGGGTAGCAGGGAAGGGGATGGGGGGAAGCAGAGAAGGGGATGGGGGGAAGCAGGGAAGGGGATGGGGGGAAGCAGGGAAGGGGATGGGGGGAAGCAGGGAAGGGGATGGGGGGAAGCAGGGAAGGGGATGGGGGGAAGCAGGGAAGGGGATGGCGGGAAGCAGGGAAGGGGATGGGGGGAAGCTGGAAAGGGGATGGGGGTAAGCAGGGAAGGGGATGGGGGAAAGAAGAGAAGGGGATGGGGGGAAGCAGAGAAGGGGATGGGGGAAAGCAGAGAAGTGGATGGGGGGAAGCAGTGGAGGGGATGGGGGGAAGCAGGGAAGGGGTTGGGGGGAAGCAGGGAAGGGGATGGGGGGAAGCAGAGAAGGGGATGGGGGGAAGCAGGGAAGGGGATGGGGGGAAGCACGGAAGGGGATGGGGGGTAGCAGGGAAGGGGATGGGGGAAAGCAGAGAAGGGTATGGGGGGAAGCAGAGAAGAGGATGGGGGGAAGGAGGGAAGGGGATGGGGGGAAGCAGAGAAGGGGATGGGGGGAAGCAGGGAAGGGGATGGGGGGAAGCACGGAAGGGGATGGGGGGAAGCACGGAAGGGGATGGGGGGTAGCAGGGAAGGGGATGGGGGACAGCAGAGAAGGGTAAGGGGGGAAGCAGAGAAGAGGATGGGGGGAAGGAGGGAAGGGGATGGGGGAAAGCAGAGAAGGGGATGGTGGAAGCAGGGAAGGGGATGGGGGGAAGCACGGAAGGGGATGGGAGGAAGCAGAAAAGGGGAGGGGGGAAGCAGGGAAGGCGATGGGGGGAAGCAGAGAAGGGGATGGGGGAAAGCAGAGAAGGGGATGGAGGAAGCAGAGAAGGGGATGGGGGAAAGCAGGGAAGGGGATGGGGGGAAGCAGGGAAGGGGATGGGGGAAATCAGATAAGGGGATGGGGGGAAGCAGAGAAGAGTATGGGGGGAAGCAGAGAAGGGGATGGGGGGGAAGCAGAGAAGGGTATGGGGGGAAGCAGGGAAGGGGTTAGGGGGAAAGCAGAGAAGGGAATGTCTTGAACGTGCGCAACCTTAAGTCTAGACTATGAAGACTATTTAGAGTCTTAGTAGTATGCATAGTAACCTCTGGCTTCAACTGTGTGAAGGAATTTGATGGAAAACTAAGGCAGAAAGTTGAAGTAATTTCATTGAAGAAGGCATACAAAAACAGAAAACACAAAGGAAGTTATAAGCAAAAGGATTTCTGATTTCGCCCTTGCGCGCGCCTAATTTCGAGCTGAGTTGTATTCGTCTCAATTTCCAAATCCAACCATGAACCGGACGCGCCTCGAGTTCCAAATTCAGACTTCCTTGGACGCGCCTTTGACCCGGCGTGACTTCTCTTCACGTCACTTGAAAGCACGACATTTCAGCCATGTTTCTTCTCCATTTCAGCACGCTTCCTCTCCTTCTCTTCGTTTCCCACTGCAGGTCGCGCTGCTACCGTGTTTCTCCTTCCACCGTCCCAACATAGGTAGTCTCTCTTCTTCTTAGGTCCTCGCTTCCCCATAGTCTCAGCTCGTCAAAGTAGGTTTTTCTTAGGTCGATGTAGGTCACTCCAGGTTGTGCTAGGTCGTGGTTAGCTTACCCCCGTCAACAGTCTCCTATGTGGTTTGCTAACCAGCTTACGCACATTTCACCTTGAACCAGCTCTGTTTGCTCCACACTCCCCTGCAATTCAGCCAAGGTACGTATCCCAACCTCTCTCTTGCAACGCTCAAAATTAGCCCTTGGTAACACCTTAGTAAGAAAATCTGGTGCTTGTGCCTCCGTACGTACGAATTCAAACTTGAACTCCTTGCTACTCACCTTTGAACGCACCCAATGATACTTCACATCCATATGCTTGGTCCTCCCGTGCCAATTGTCGTTGTGAGCCAAGTCAATGGCAGATTTGCTATCCGTGCGTATCACCGTTGGCCCTTCCACCTTGATTTCCATCTCCTTGAGTAGCCTTCTCAGCCAAACCCCCTCTTGGCACGCGAAAAACAGAGCCATGTACTCCGCTTCCGCACCAGAGAGCGCTATGTCAGCCAACCTTTTCGCTTGCCACATGATTGCTGTCCCGCTGAGCAAAAATACGTAACCATATGCTCCCTTCCTTGTTTTCTTATCGGATGCATGTGAAGCATCCGCATATCCCACTAACTCCAGGGTTTCCTCACCTCCTTCAAATGACAGCCCCTCATCTTCCTGTTGCAGTAGGTAGTCGATAGTCCTCCTCACCTCTCTCCATTTTCTCTCCCCTTGCTGCTGCACTTGTTGCCCAAGATAGCTAGCTGCGTATGCCATGTCGACGCGCGTGCATGAGACCGGATACATGATAGACCCCACCATGGACTGATATACTTGCAGAGCTCTCTCTTTGCAGCCCCATTGGTTGACATCCTCCTCCCTTTCACTGTTGCTTTCAGCTACCCCACTCAATGGTGTCGAAATTGCCTTCGTGTAGTCATTGCCAAACCTCTGCTGCACCCTGCTGCAATATTTCTGCTGGTATAGGAACATTTTCCTCTCCTCCTTACGTCGCTCCAGGTTCATGCCGAGAAAGAGTGTGGTCCTCGGAATCTGCTTCACTTGAAAAATTTCCGCAAGATGAGCACACACCTTCTCTACCTCCTCCTCTAACGCCCCTGCCACCAAGATGTCGTCCACGTATAGCACCAAGAACACCTTCTCTTTCCCTTCTCCCTTCTAGTAGAATGCCCTATCACACTCGCTTTTCTGAAATCCCCCTTGCAGTAGCCGCTCATCCATCGCCATATACCACTCCCTAGGACTCTGTTTCAGCCCATATAATGCCTTGTTGAGCTTGCATTTTCTGCCCGAGCTGTCGTCATGCCCTGGTGGTTGCTCGAGGTAGATGTCCTCCTTCAACACCCCATTTAAAAACGCGTTTTTAATATCCAGCTGCACCATGAAGTATTTTCTTGCTGCTACCACCTTGAGAAAAACCCGCGCCGTTGCCAACTTGCTCACTGGAGCGTAGATCTCATTTTGTTGGTAGTCTTTCCCCTCCACTTGAGTGTAGCCCTTGGCTACAAGCCTTGCTTTGAACCTTTCCAGCTGCCCCATATCACCGGTCTTGATTTTAAAAATCCACTTCATTCCCACGGCTTTCCTCCCTTCCGGCATAGGTACTAGCTCCCATGTGCCCCTTTCAGCCAATGTGTTCAACTCCTCCTCAATTGCCGCTTTCCACTGCTCCCTTTCTGGACCCTCTAGCGCCTCCTCGATGCTCACTGGTTCTTTGGGCAGGTTGTGTGTCACTTTTCCTTCATTGGAGACTAGGTCAGTAGCTGTGGCAGAGAGTAGGAGGTGGGTGTGGATGTCCTTCCAACACGTCATGAGCAGTTGCGCATACCGAGGGTTTGGTTTCTTCACCCTCTTTCCTTTCCCCAACTCCTCTGCAGGTGATTCAGCCTCATCCTCACTGGAATCCGCCAGTGCTTTCCCTTCTCCATTCTTCACTTCCCTTCCAATCATGATGGCGCCCTCCTGAAGTAATTCCTCTATCTCCCTCATCTTGACATTGCTGTCATCACTGTTTAGAAGCTTCCATGGATCACTATCTCCTTCAGCTGCTGATTCTTCATCTCCTTCTCCAACCACCTCTTCATTGCCACCCTCGGCTACTTCATTGCTTGGCTGCTCCCCTGCTATCTCCACTCCATTGGTTTCATCCGCTTCACTGGTTGGTGCCTTCTCCCACACCCAATCAACTGAATCTGCCCATTCCACATCTTCGAGTTCCTCTTCTCCTTCATACCCAACTCCCTCACTCTCCTTTTCCTCCAAAAGATCCTCCACCTTGTCCGGTGCAGTTGTTGTCCCTGCTGCTGCAATCTCTTTCTCTACTCCCTTCCACTGCAGGTAGTTCACCTCCTCGTAGAAGACAACATCCCGGGTGATCGTGACTTTTCCTGAAATTACATCCTTGATCACCCACCCCTTGCTCACTGGGCAGGTACTGAGGTTAATCCCCCAATGAGCCTTGGGCAGCAACTTATGATCTGGACCGGCTGGCTCTCTGTATTGCACCATACTCCCCCACACCCGGGCAAACCCCAGATTTGGCTTCCTGCCATAGAAGGCCTCGTGGGGAGTCATATATGCCCGAAGTCCCTTGGTAGGTAGGCGGTTCTTGGACCAGCACGCCATTGCCAATGCATCACCCCAGAACTTCAGTGGCAGCCCACTATCTGCCAACATGCTCCTCACACTATCCAGTAGAGAACGGTTCACCCGCTCCGCTATGCTATTATGCTGTGGAGTGTAGGGTACAGTCAGCTGCCGTCGGATGCCCTTACTCTGTAAAAACTTGTTGAACAGGTCCCCTGTAAACTCCCCACCATTATCTGTCCTCAAAGCTTTCAACACCTTCCCACTTTGCCACTCCGCTTCCGCCATCCAAGTCACGAAGCTAGGAAACACTTCTGCCTTAACTTTCAGCTCCGTCACCCATGTGTGCCTTGTTCCCAAATCAGTGAAGGTAACGAAGTAGCGGCTGCCGTGACGTGACGCCACCCTCATAGGCCCACACACATCGGCTGCTACGATGTCCAAGGTGCCATAAGGTTCATGTACCTGGTGGTGGGGGTGAGGGGACTTTGTGATTTTACCTTCAACACACTTGCTGCATTTTCCCTTGCTTCCAGCCCCCTCCTTCAGTGCCACACCTTTTACCATGCCCTTTTTTACCAACTCCTTGACCCTATCCATGCTTGCATGCCCCATGCGCCTGTGCAAGGTCTCCAATTCCACCTTCTCCATCCCAACCACCATGGCTGAAGCTTCCTGCTGCAGCTCCTTCACTGGTAAGCCACCAAGCCGAGCCTTCAACTCCTCCCTAGCTAGGTCCCCTTCGAGTGATGGCAGGTAGGTGGCATTCTCATCCTCCAGCCCCTTCTTTCTCAGCTTCATTTCATACAACCCCTGATTCCTGTTCCCTTCTGCAACCACCTTCCAATCCTCATTGAAAACCCACAGCTTCCCCTTGTCGCTGAAGGTTTTGCACCCCGTGCAGTCAAGTTGAGTTTGGCTGATCAGATTCAGTGACAGCTTCTCCACTAAAAGCACATTCTCCAGTTTCAGCTCCCCGTACTCTCCCTGGAGCAGCAACTCTCCTTCCCCCTTCACACTCAGTTTCCCTTCATCGCCCAATAGAACGTAGGGTACACTAGACTCCCTCAATCCGGTAAGCCACTCACGATGATTGGTCATATGTTGCGTGCAGCCACTATCCATGAACCACGCAGCTTCACCAAACCCCTTTGCCATCAAACACACTCCCGATGCCCTTGCCACGTTTGCCTTGTGAGCTCCCCCCAAAATTACGTCTGCCTCACTGTTTTCAGCTTCCACTGCGTTTGCTTTTGCTGCTGGTGGTTGATTCTGCTGCTGGTTTGCCCCTCAGTAGTTCTTGCTGTTCGGGTTCGAGTAGCAGTTGGCTGCCCTATGCCCAATTTTTTGGCAATAGTGACATGCCCCTGAAAATCCGCCTCTCTGCATCTTGTTATCGCCTCGAACCTCCCCCTCTCTCTGCTGCCCTCCATTTTGCAGGCCCCTTTGCTGCGGACCGCTCCAATTTCCCTTGAAATTTCTGCTCCTCGGGTTGTCATAGCAGTCTATCTGCTTATGACCCTTCTTCCCACACTGAAAACACACCCCGAAACCTCTGTATCCTTTCCCTGTCACTGCTGCGTTTACCATAGCATGAGTGACTGGTCCCATTCCGCTCAAGCTAATCTCCTTCCTGAGTCGATCAGCTTTCACCCGCTCTAGGGCTTGGAGCGTCTCCAACACCTTGGTCATATTCGCGGGTGGGTTGCAGGTTAGGAGCCCTATCTCTGCTTCCCACTCCTTGGGCAGCCCAGTAATGATGTACCCCATCATTTCTCCTTCAGTTTCAGCTGCCCCCATCGCCTTGAGGTCATCATTGTACCCCTTTGCTCGATTCATGTAGTCAATGACCCTCTCCCCCGGCTCCATA